AGTTTCCAATGTTTTGCTGTAATCAAAGAATTGCTATAGATATTTCAGCCTATAAAAGATCTTCCTTTCTGTCTCTGACTTCTAGCAATAGAATCCCTGGGTCAAAGTGTATGGACAGTATAGTTCCAAATCATTTTAAAAGATAAATTATTTTAATATATTTTGTTAAATATTTTCCAATTACATGTAAAAAAAATTAACAATCATTTTTTTAAAACTTTGAGCTCCAAATTCCCTCTCTCCCTCCTATCCTTTCCTCTTCCTTAAGAAGGCAAACACTATAATTTTGATTATACATGTGAGGCCATGACAAATATATTTCCCTAATAGTCACGCTGCAAAAGAAAACACAAACAAAATAAAACAACAGAGCTGGAAAAAAAAAGTATGCTTCAATCTGCATTCAAAGTTAATCAGTTCTCTGGAGTTGGATAGCATTTTCCATCATGGGTCTTTTGGAATTGTCTTGGATCACTGTACTGCTAAGAACAGCTAAGTCATTCACAATAGATCATTATTACAATGTTGCTATTACAGTGTACAATGTTTTCCTCACTTCACTTTGCATCAGTTCATATAGGTCTTCCCAGGTTTTTCTGAAACTATCCTGTTCATTATTTCTCATATCACAATAGTATTCCATCATAATCATACAACACAACTTGTTCAGCCATTGCTCAACTGATGGGCCTCCCTTCAACTTCCAATTCTTTGCCACCACAAAAAGAACAGCTATAAATATTTTTGTATAAATAGGTCCTTTTCCTTTTTCTTTGATCTCTTTAGGATATAAACCTAGTAGAGGTATTGCACGCATATTTTTATAGTCCTTTGGGCACAGTTCCAAATTATTCTCTAGAATGGCTGGACTATTTCACAACTCCATCAACAATGCACTGTGTCCCATTTTTTCAGTATCCCTTCCAGCATTTCTCATTTTCCTTTTGTCATACTGGCCAATCTATTAGACAATTAGCTAATAGCCAGTCATACCTAATAGACGTGAGGTGGTATCTCAGAGTTGTTTTAATTAACCTTTCTCTAATCACTAGTGATTTGGAGCACTTTTCCATATGACTAGTGATAGCTTTGATTTCTTCTGAAAACTTCTCATATTCTTTGACCACTTATCAGTTGAGAAATGGCTCTTATTTTTATAAATTTGGCTCAGTTCCCTATATATTTGAGATATGAGGCCTTTATCAGAGAAACTTTTTGCAAATTTCCCCCCCCAGTTTCCTGTTTTCCTTCTAATTTTTGCCTATGCAAAAGCTTTTTAATCTCATGTAATCAACATTATCTATTGTACTTCCTGTAATCTCCTCTTTCTCTTGTTCGGTCATAAACTCTTCCCTTATCCATACATCTGACAAGTACATTTTCCTGTGCTCTCCTAATTATGCCTAATTAATTTATCCATTTTGATCTTATTTTGATATAAGGTATGAGAAGTTGGTCTATGTCTACTTTCTGCCAAACTACTTTCCAGTTTTCATTCTTTTTTTTAATGTTTTGTTTTTCCCCAAATACATGTAAAAACAAGTTTTAACATGTTTTTTATTTTTGAGTTCCAAATTCTCTCCCTCTTTTCCTCTTTCTCCCCCACCCCGCATTGAGAAGGCAAGCAATTTGAAATGTTATACACATGCAAAACATATTTCCACGTTAGTCATGTTGTGAAAGAAAACACAGACAAAAAAAAGAAACAAGAAAAATAAACAAAGTAAAGAAAAAGTGTGCTTCCATCTGCATTCAGACAACCATCAGTTCTTTCTCTGGAGATGCATAGCATTTTCCATCATAAATCCTTCAGAACTGTCTTGGATCATTGCACTGATGAGAACAGCTAAGTCATTCACAGTTGATCATCGTACAATATTGCTGTTACGGTATACAATATTCTCCTTGTTCTGCTAATTTCACTCTGCATTAGTTCATATAAGTCTTTCCAGGTTTTTTCTGAGAGCATCCTGCTCATCATTTCTTATGTCACAATAGTATTCTGTCACAATCATATATACCAACTTATTCAGCCATTCCCCAATTGATGGGCATACTTAATGTTTTTCTTTGGAATTTATGTCAAATGGTGAGTTCTTACTTCAAAAACTTGGATATTTTGGTTTGATCGTTTACTATGGTGTATTGTGTACTTATTCTATTCCACTGATCCACCACTCTACTTTTTAGCCAGTACCAGACTGTTTTGATAATTACTGCTTTATAGTTTGAAATCTGGAACTGCTAGGCTACCTTCCTTAACATTTTTTTCCCACTGATTCCCTTGATATTCTTGACCTTTTATCCTCCAGATGAATTTTGTAACTATTTTTTTCTAGCTCTGTAATTCGGTGGTAGTTTGAATGGTATGACACTGAATAAGTAAACTTAGATTGAATTGTCATTTTATTATATATTGGCTGGGCCTACAGATAACAATTAAATTTCTCCAATCGTTTAGATCTGTCTTTGTGTGAAATGTGTTTTATAATTGTATTCATACAATCTTTGGGTTTGTCTTGGCAGGTGGACTCCCAAGTATTTTATATCTTTCTATCTCTTGCTGCTGGACTTTGTTGATAGTACACAGAAATACTGATGATTTATGTGGGTTAATTTCATATCCTACAACTGTGCTGAAGTTAATTGTTGCAACTAGTTTTTTTAGTTGATTACTTAGTTTTGTAAGTATAACATATCATCTGCAAAGAATGACTGTTTTGTTTCCCTGTTGACCATTTTTTCTTCAATTTCTTTTTCTTGTCTTACTGCAATAGCTAGCACTTCTACTATGATATTGAATAACAGTAGTGATAATAAATATCCCTGCCTCACTCCTGATCTTATTGGGAAGGCTTCAAGTTTATTGCCATTACAGATGATGCTTGCTCTTGGTTTTAGAAAGATTACTTATCATTTTAAGAAGGCTCCATTCATCTATATGCTTTCTATTATTTTTAATAGAAATTAGTGTTGTAATTTGTCAAAGGTTTTTTTTGCATCTACAGACATAATCATATGGTTTTTGTTATTATTATTCATATGGTCAATTATGCTGTTAGTTTTCCTAATATTGAACCAGCCCTGCATTCCTGGTATAAGAATATGAGTCATTCCCCAACTGACAAATAGTCAAAGGATATGAACAGGCAGTTTTTCAATGAAGAAATCAGAACTATATATAGCACATGAAAAAATGCTCTAAATCACCATTGATTAGAAATGCAAATTAAAACAACTATGAGGTATCATCTCATACCTATCAGACTGGCTAAAATGATAGAAGGGGAAAATGAAAAATTCTGGAGGGGATGTAGAAAAACTGGGACATTGACACACTGTTGGTGGAACTGTAAACTGATCCAACCATTCTGGAGAGCAATCTGGAATTATGCCCAAAGTGTTATAAAACTGTGTATACCCTTTGACCCAGCAATACACTATTAGGTCTGTATCCCAAGGTGATCAAGGAAAAGAACTTATACGTTCTAAAATATTTATAGCAGCTCTTTTTGTGGTGGCAAAGAACTGGAAATTTAGGGGATGCCCATCAATTGGGAAATGGCTAAACAAGTTGTAATATATGACTGTGATGGAATACTACTGTTATAAAAAGTGATGAGCTGTTTGATTTTATAAAAACGTGGAAAAACTTTCATGAAATAATGAAAAGTAAAGTGAGCAGAACCAAGAATACGTTGTATATAGTAAAAGCAATATTGTTCAAGGAATAACTGTGAATTACTAAGTTATTCTAAATATCATAAATACTCAAATCAACTACAAAGGACCTATGAAGGAAGATGCTATCCACCTCCAGAGAAATAACTGATAAACAGAAGTGTGCTTAGTATGGTTTTACATATATTTATAAATCTGCATCAAATGGTGGTCTTCTTTAGTGCAAGGTGGAATGAGAGGGAGGGAGATAGCTTAGAACTTACAATGTAACTCCCAAAAAATTAAATTAAAAAAAATATCCTATTTCAAGCTCTTCTCGTGGATGCAGCATAATCCTTTGCTATTTGAACTGACATTTCTTCAAAGCTTAAGCTTTTTTCCTGACTGTTTTCCAAATTTATTATTTGGCATAAAAATTCTGAAATTTACTATTACCTACCTTGGAATTTCAATCTTAAGAGTTCTTCTTTGTTGGCAATCTGTAAAATTAAGCAAATGATGAAAAAAAAATGTATGAAATCTAGAGTAATTAAAGCTATACCAAAAAAGATAAGAGAATGGAAACACCATCATGGTTTTAACGAGGCTCACTTTTATTTTCTGCCAAAACAACGTTATTGTACAAAAAATCATTTATGTACAGTCAGATATAAAGATGTTTGTTTGAGTGACTTCTGTGCATATATTTTCTCAGCTCAAGATTACAGCATAAAAGTTGGGCCACAATGCCAGAGGTGCTCTGCTCATGGCAGGATCAGGGAGAGGATTGTCGCTTGGAAATAAAAACACTTAAATGGCAGAAGGACAACCCTGCATATATAGACCAAGAACACTCATCCACGACCTTGTGTCTTCTCCAAATGAGGGAATTTGGGGGCCAAGTCTAGTGCTCATCCCAGACCTATGCATCTGGGTAGACTACTAGCTTCGAAACCTGTTTTGAGTGGAATAACAACCAATCTTGACTAATGGTTGCCTATGGTTCTCTTCCTACTCCCCAAGCCCATTTTACCCTGTTTGTTTCCTGCCCTACATCTCTTACAAAGAATTCTCCCCCTATTGCACAATAAGCTCCATCCCCACAATGGTAAGTGTTTAGGTTAAATATAGTCCTAGGTTATTCTAGGTTTCAAGGAGTATTACATAACTCTATCCTGCCTATCCAAATTTGGCAAAGGAAGAAAAACACTTAACATATAGAAATTGTCAACTGAAGCAGACAATTTAAATTCTTCATTAAAATATTTATAATGGGCAAAAGAATAATCAAAATCATTTCTGCAAAGAAGCCCCTAAAATACATCTAAAATAAAATCTACCTGATTTTAGGTGTCTTCAGAGGAGTATACGGATGTCTTTTAAGCACATCTAATGGAGACTCTGTATTTTTTCTGTATCTTTGCACTTCTGGTAGAGATGGAATTGTACCCACTTCCTTGAAATCTTTCAGACCAAATACTGAGGAGCATTCTAATTTAAATATTTTCAAAGAAATACATGTTATTGCTTGATCATAAACATAATACTTCTTGTATTCAAAATAATATATTAAACACAAAAAATATTTTAAATCACTCCTTTAAAAGTAAAGAATATCTTGAATTCATATAGGACCTTTACTTGGAATTTTATTTCCACATACCATAATTTCATTAAAGTAATTTTGATTTTATCATTTTAGTGCTCCTAGCCCATTCCTGCCACAGACAAGTATATGAAAAGAATAGCTAAGAGTTAGGTAAAATGACAATTCAATAGAAACTTGGGAGTCTCTAATTTCAGTTACTATCAAGGCTAACTTTGATCCACCAACAGGACAGGATGTTAGGAAACAACAACTAGGTTCCAAGAGAGTTTCTTCATCTTTCCGTTCTCTGACAGAGACTCTGATCCTGTGGCTACAGTGTTAACACTATTCACTCTTCATCCAATTTTCATCAAAGGCACAGACAATAAGTAAAGAGGAGTGAACAATTCCAAAACTAAAGTGGGAGAAAATTAAAAAACCGTCCAAGAAACTCACATAATACACCAGATATTCTGCAGATGCTCAGAATTTGAAATAAAACCATATGAATAGAGACATAATAGCTATAGTCTCACAAAGCTATATTTAATAAGCACTATGTTTAATAAGTAGGGTACCTTTTAAAGTTGTCTTAACTCTTTTCGTCTAACGTGTTGGCTTTCAATGGACTAACTATTCTTCCTCTGAATTACAGCTGCACCACCTCAACAGGATACATTGTCTTTGTTGTTTTTATTTATCTTCTAAAGTATAACTTCCTTGAGGGCAGGGATTATGTCATATCTCTAAACCTAGTACGGTTCTTTTTACATATGAGGCATTCAATAAGTATTTGTTGATGGTGGCGAACACAGATGTAGAACTGCAAAGGATCTTACAGCCCCTGTTTTCCAGGGATTCTCAAACTGGGGTCTGTGAACTTTTTTCTAAAAAAATTTTTGATAACTATTTCAATATAATTTGTTTCTTTATAATCAAAATATTTGATTTTATGCATGTACAAACTTTATTCTGAGAAGGGATCCATTGGCTTCATCAGACTGACAAAGAGGTCCATGACACACAAAAAAAGTTAAGAACCCCTGCTCCAGTTGAACCTCTTCATTTTACAGATGAGGAAAACGAGGTCTAGGGAGATTAAGTGATTTGACTAAGGTCACAGAATTAGCAATAATTAGGGCTTGGATTTGAGACAGGTCCCCTGAATCCATATTGAGTGCTTTTTGTCCCCTTCAGCTAAATATGAAATTGTATATAGATGCAAATTAAGGGAATAACCAACTTAAGTTTTGTTTTGGTGAAGTGAATTTCCTATCATCCCACTTCTAGCTGTAACACAGTCATCTATGGCTTCTCTCCCTCCAAGAATACATATACAATCCTTACCATTCCCTTGGCTACCCCACTAGTTCAGTCCTTCATTACCCCTTGCATGGATTATTCTAATACCCTATTTCCAAGACTCCTGGACTCCAGGTTCTCCTTACTCCACCCTACACTCATCTGATCAGATCACTCCACTGTTCCAAAACCTTCTATGGCTTCTTAAAATCTAGACTTCATCTAGCATCCAAAGCCTTCTATGATTTGACTTCAGTCTTCTTTCTAGCCTTATCTCACATTACCTCTAATTCATATTTTCTATGATGAAACTAAATTTAATCATCCACTGAAAATATACCATGCTCTCTTGCTTCTATACTTATGTTTGTGCAGTTCTCTCTATGCCCATCCCTTCATTCTGATATCCTTTATTTGGGCATGTTAATTCTATGGCTAAACATCTCTTTGGTGCAGGCTTCCATAATTATGCAGCAGCTGAAAGTGATCTTTCCATCCTCAGAATTTTTAGCATTTTGTATTCCTCTCATTCAGTGGAGTTTGTTGTTGTTGTTCCAGATTTGTGATTTCACTGGCATTTTCCAAATGAGAAAATCCTTCTACTAATGAAGACCAGCAACTGTTCTGTAATTTCTAGTACTAGAGAGTAGCCTAGTGCTGAGAGGTTAACTGTGATGCTGTTTGCTCAGCATCACATAGTTTGTATGTGTCAGAGGCAGGACTTGATCCCACTTCTTTTAGACTTTAAGACCAACTTTGTCCTCATGATGCCATGATGGCTGTCATACATCTGCATTACAAATACACAAGTCCATGCCTAATCTGTCCTACTACACTATACATTTCAGAATGAAGGCAGGAATTGTGTCTTATTTATAAATATCTTTATCCTTACCATCCCCAAACTCCCAATATTTAGCATGGTCCACTGTACACAGTTGGTGCTTCTCTATTTGTAACCAAAAACAGGCATTAAATAAGAACTTTTTCCAAGGATTAAATATTACAGAAGCCAGGCCTAGCTGTACATGGAGGTGAGTTTTTATACTGTTTGGTGAACTTGTCTGGTTGTTAGTTGGATGAGGGGGTAGGATCAATGATGTGAACAGGGCATGTCCACATTTTGACTAAAATTATGGAGGACCTAACCATTGTCTAAAATTTTTATAACTGTACATAGTTACTTCAGTATTTCAATTCATCTGTGATTTTCATTGATGTGGCTAGTTCCTTCACTGGCATAGCCTGCAACCAATCCATGAATTCTTATCCTGTTCAATTCTTGTCCATATCTTTCCATGAATCCTTCATAGATAATGTTCAGAGTCTTACTATAACATTCTTCTTCCCTAAACCCAATCTGGTTCTTTTCTGATCATACATATAGTTAACGATGATTTTTTTTTGCCATTTCTCATGGAAAAGTTATTATTGGTAATAGGCTTCAATATACTTACACTCCCACTATGTCTTTCCTTTGCATTTGGATTACATGAAACTCTGATTCTTCTGAAATTGTCATGATCCAGAATCTGCAGAATGCTGGTATTAAAAAAATGTGTTTCTGGGGCAAGGAATAGCTTGGGATCATTGAAAGTACTGCACAATTTCCCAAATTCAATCCAGCCCATTCTCCTCCTATTCAATACTGGGCTCAGCTTACTTTCTTTATCTACAGTATTTGGACTAATTCAACTGACTGCATATTCAACAGCATGTCACACTCTAGGTAATATGCATTCATTCATTTAATTTTACCTGTGTAGATTCCAGGCTAGTCTATTTTGAGTGGCTATAGATCTCATTGGAGAGGCATTTTAGTTTTCTGAGTTTCAATATAATCAGTAACATGTTTCCCACAAATGCAAGGTCTAGAAAGCCTCATCATCAATAACACATTTCTTCCATTTGAACTTGTTCCAAAACATCCTCCATACACTGTCACACATACCTGGTAAGGCAGCTCTGGAGCCAAATCTCAACTGATCCATGCCACATGTGGCCCTGCACAAGACACTGTGCCTCCCCGGGCTTCAGGTACCTCATCTATAAAATGAGGAGGTTGGAACAGATGGTCCCTCCCAGCTCCCACTGATGATATTTGGCAAGCATGTTTTCCTGTTTTATGCCTCAATTTGAGAAGTAATATGATTATAACAAATAGAAAATTAGCCATTTAGTCAGGAAGAACAGGGTTCAGGTTCTGCCTCTGACATGTAGCTTACAATCCTAGGCATATCACTTCACCATTCAGTGTTCCAAGTAATTTTCTAAGTCTAAGTTGCAGAGTTAAGTGCTGATCTTCATGATGCATGGAATTTTGTAATCAAAAACTCCTTATAACCAAGAAAACCATAGGTTTGACGTTCCCTCAAAAGCTTTTATTTAAATTGTTATGTTTTATTCCTTTGTCTGATACAGATAAGACTTTAGGGAGACCTGGTAGCCATCCATCACCACTACTGTCATATAATCTCTGCTCTCTTTCAAGGCTAACCTACCTGAGAAAGTTATCTACAACTGGTGCTTCTTCTTAACTGTCTTCAATCTGACTTCTGACCTCATCATTCAATTGAAATTGCTTTCTCCAAAGTCATCAAATGAGCTCGTAATTGCCAAATCTAATGGACTTTTCTCAATTCTTATTCTTCTTGACTGCTCTGTAGGCTCTGTCGACATAGATCACCCTCTCCTTGACACTATCTTCTCTCTAGGTTTCTGTGACATTGCTCTCTCCTGGTTCTCTTCCCACCTGTCTGATCATTTCTTTTCAGTCTCCTTTGCTAGATCTTGATAACCCTGGGAATTCCCCAAGGCTCTGTCTTGGGCCCTCTTCTCCCTCTATTTTGTTTGGTGATTTCAGCAGCCACCATGGTTTTTCTATACAAATGACTCCGATATCTATCTGTGCAGCCCTACCCTCACTCCAAACTTCCAGTCTTGCATCTCCAACTGTCTGTTCCATAGATATCTCAAACTCAAATTGTCCAGAACTCAGCTCATTATCTTTTCCCTCTTCTTAACTTTCCAATGAGTGTCAAGGGCACAACAGTCCTTCCAAGTTCAAAACCTAGGTGTCATCCTTGATTCCTCACTCTCTTTTACCCTACCCCAATATCCACTCAGTTGCCAAATCCTACTGATTCTACCTTCAAAACATCTCTTATATGCACCCCCTTCTCTCCTCTGACATTACCACCACCATAGTGCATGCCCTCATCACCTCCCACCTTCTGGTTGGTCTACCTGACTCAAGTTTCTCCCCACTTTAAACCATCCTCCATTCAGCTGTCCAATTGATCTTCCTAAAGCACATATCTGACCATGTCTCCTCACTACTCAATAAATTCCAATGGCTTCCTATTTCTTCTAGAATCAAATATAAAGTCCACTGTTTGGCTTTTAAAGCTCTTTACAACCTTAGTTACTTCCTACCTTTCCAGGCTTCTCCTACATTACTCCTCTCCACATACTCTGTGATCCAGAGAAAGTGGCCTTCTTGCCATTCTTTATACACAAGACTTCTCCTGACTCTATGCCTTTTAACTGGCTGTCTTCCATGCCTGAAATGTTCTCACTCCTCATCTCCATCTCCTCACTATCTAGTCAACTTTTTGCATTTTGGCTTCCATCTCCACTACTATTTTGAAACTACTTTGTTAATACTCCACCACAACCTAATTGCAAAATAAAGGAATCTATTATTAATCATGATCTTCTATCATCTCTCTGTGACATCGGACACTGTTAGTTATTTCTTCCATGATACTTTCTACTTCCTTGGCTTCCATAGGATTATGTCCTCCTGGATCTTCTGCTTCTCTGATGACTCCTCCATTTCCTTCAATAATCCCTGTTCTTCCTGCAGCTCCAGGCACCCCCTCCTCCCAAGGGGCCCTTCAAGGCTTTTTCCTTGGCCAGGTCCTCTTCTATCTAAACTGCAGATTACAAATAGTACTAGACACTGGAGAAAAAAAGTTTCTGGTTCTGGTTCTACCATAGACTCATTGAATAACCAAAACATATAACCTCTATTCTCCTCATATTTTTTTTCTAAAATAAAGATTATCCTTACCAGAATGTAATAGGGTAAACTATAAAATGTCTCATAAAGATTTAAAAAATTCACTTAATAAAGTAGCATTACCTTTTTTCATCTTTAGTGTTTCAAGAGCTGCTTTCTTCCAGCTATTTTCAAAGAAAAAACAGCCATCAAGTGAACTTTTGGTGACTCTTGAAGTTAAGTATCTGTTTTCAGGAGTGAGTACGGGTATTTTATTTTCTTCTTTTGAAAATGAAGATATATCCCTAATGTGAAGCACAAAATAAAAAGGAAAATGCAAGAATTTTAGGAATTTTTTTTTCTAATTTCTGCTCCAAACTGAAGAATAAATACTAACCTTAGATTAAAAGAAAAACACATTTTTAAAGATTTTAAAGCAAAAGAACTTTAGGAATGTAGCTAAAATGTATAGACAATGGATTTTGTTTTTCAATCCTCTTCACCCTTGTCCCAATTGGACAATGGAGAGTCTATCACTTGGGGTTTGGCAAGGCATGGTGCTGTGGCCTCGGGTTGGTCAGTCAATTAATACTTATTAAGTGGCTACTATGTGTCAGGCACTTAGAGCTGGGGGGGTACAAAGAAAATTAAAAGAAAGTCCCTACTCTCAAAGAGCTCAGAGCCTAATATGGGCCAATGCCTGGCAATCGGCCAAGGAAAAGTTGGGTTTTATAGGTATCAAAGTCCTCAATAGGAAAAAGTCAGTAAGTCCATCATGTAAAAGAGGAAAAGAAAAGATCCCTACAATGAAGAGATAAACAGTAGCTTGTCAAGGGAGTCCAAGCAAGACAACACAAAGGGCTTGTCTGAATATTTTATAAAAAGTTAGTATAAATGAAACAATAGTGTATAAGGACATTCCATTTGGGAGGTCATGAGCCAAATCTGACAGCCTCAGTGAGTACACATCTGTACAAAAACCACATGCTGTCCCACACATTTAGAGATTCCCTAATGGTCTATGGCAGTTGGACCTCGCTTTATGGACTGTACTGTTTCCTGTACATTGGGCCAGTCTGGGTTCCTCCAGGTAGCCAAAGTGTGAAGGGTTAATTCAGGTACTAAAATGGGACTAGACTCCATCTCTGTCTGTTTCTCTGATCTTTAGTCTGTCCCTATCAATATAATCATTACAGCCTAGAAACAGGCTCAGGTCTCTTCCTCCCTAATAAATCACTGCCCTATTCTGTTCTCCATTTTACTGATAGAACATTTTACTAGCAAAGAACTGCTTTAATCTCATTTCATCACTACCCATTTACTTCTTAAAACTACAATCTAGTTTCTGACCTCACCATTATACTGAAATAGCTCTCTCAATCTCTTTTGACCGTACTGAAGCACTTGACCCTCTCATGCTTCCTCTTACCACTTATTCCTAACCACTTTCTTCCCCTGGGGCACTCTTCTCTTTCCCTCTATACTACCTCACTAGATGATCTCATCAGCTCCCAGGGATTTCATTACTATCTCTATGCTGATGATTTGCAAATGTACCTTTCCAACCCTAAACTCTGTGCTGCTGACTCTCTTGGACTAGAATTAGATACCTTAAACTCAATATATTCAAAGTTGAACTCAGCATCTTTCCCTCTAAAACTTCCTACCCACCTTCCCTACTATTATAGAAGGCAACACCATCTTCCCAGTCCCTCAGGCTTGCAACCTAGGAGTCATCCTGGATTCCTCACTACCCCTCACCCCCATATCTATTCTACTAGGCCAAGGACTATTGATTTCATCTTTGCAACATCTCTTCTATACACCTACTTTTCTGATATTTCCATCACTTTAGTACAGGCCCCCATCATCTCATGCCTAGATTACTGCAATAGCCTGCTGGTGGGTCTGCCTACCTCAAGTATCTCCCTACTCCAGTCCATCCTTAATCAAGTCAATAAAGTGATTTTCCTAAAGCACAGGCCTGATCATGTTATCCCCACCCCACCCCTACTCAATAATTGCCTTCAGGATCAAATACAAAATGCAGTTTGGTATTCATAGCCCTTTATAACCTCAGCCCCTCCTATCTTTCCAGTTTTTTTAATCCCACTTATTCCCCTCCAGCAAGTACTCTTTGATCCAGTGACTCTGGCCTTCTGGTTGTTCTACAGACAAGACACTCCAATCTCTTGGTTCCAGCCATTTTCTCTGGTTGTGCCCCAATGGTTTCTCTTCTCTGCTCCAACTACTTACCTCCTTGGATTCCTTAAATGCCAATTTGAATCCCTCCCTTCTACAAGAAGCCTTTACCAACCCTTCTTGATTCTAGTACCTTCCTTCTGTTAACTATTTCCTATTTATCCTATATATAGCTTGTTTTGTATATATATTTGTAAGTTGTCTCTACACCCCCCCCATTAGATTGCAAGCTCCTTGAGGGCAGGTACTATCTTTTGTCTCTTTATGTATCCCTACCACTTAGTGCTTGACACACAATAAATGTTTATTAATTGACTGATTCTTGAAACTGTACTCTTCAAACCCATTTGAATTGGCTTTTTCCCTGGCTTAACATCCTCTCCTTATCCTCTAAATGTAGATTACCACCTCCACCCCCCACCAAGGCTCTTTCCTGGACCACCTTCTATTCCCTTTCAACACTTACTGATCTCAACCACTTTCAAGGTTTCAAATATTAGAGATAATTCTCAAATTGATAGATATAGCACTAATGTCTCTAATGGATGATAGTCACCCATTTTCAACTCATGTTGGAACTGAATGTCCTACTAGCATTTTAAACACAATATATCCAAAATGAAATTAACCATCCTTTCTACCTGCCTCCTTCCTAACTTCTGTACTTATATTAAAGGGTACTGGCACACTTCCAGACACCTAAGCTCAAAACCTTGCTATCATCTTTGACTCTTCCCCCTCCCTTACCTCCAACATGCAATCAGTGGTCAAGATTCTATAGCCATAGCATCTCTTTCATCTACTTTTCTGTGCTCACTCTGCTACCACCCTATCTCAGGCCTTCATCACCCCTCAGCTGGACTACTGTACTAGCCTCTCAACTGAACTCCCTGCTTTCTTCCAGTCTTTTCCCTCTCCAATCTTATCTTCCACACAGCTGCAAAAATAGTCTTCATAAAGAATAGGCCTGACCATCTCATGTACACATGGAAAAACTGTCATTGGTCTTTATTGCATAGAGGATAAAATGCAATCTTCTTAGGCTTGCATCTAAAGCCCTTTACAATTTTACTTGACCTTCCAGCCTTATTTCACATTACTCTATTTCACATATTCTCCATTCTAATCAAATTGGACTACAACTTCTGCTGCTTGTTCCTCAAACTCAGCCAAACTCCTGCTTCCGAGTATCCATACAAGTCACCCACTAAGCCTGAAATGTACTTCCTCATCCTTTAATTTTAAGTTCCTTCTCTTCTTTCAATCATCTTGCCAGTTGCCTGTGAAACCTGATTGCCCAATTTGAACTCCCACCAACACACAGCTGAAACTCTTCTCCCTCACTCCACATTTTCCTAGATAGTACTTTCCTTTGTTCCAATTGCTCTCTGTCTTATGGTATATGCATTTGTGTACATGTGGCGGTAGCCTGTAGGAGAATGGAAATTCCATAAAGTTTGAGTTATTTTTTGTTTTTGTATTGCCAGTGCCTACCAAAGTATTTTGCTTACTGGAGCCGCTTAATAAATACTTGTTCAACAGAATCAAATGGGATGATGGTCACCCCAGGGTACTAAAGGGTTTTGGACTGCAGACATCCTGGGATTTCCTTTACTGGTGTAGTAGGTGCTTTTTCAGTAATGGAAGGTTAGCCTAGAAAATTTTTGGGACCTTGTCACCAAGTGATAGCGTGTGGTTGGAGTTGTGCTTGTTTTGTCCAGGGGGCTTTTGCCAGCTAGGGACAGCCAGGCTATTGTATCTATGTATTGTTGAGGATGGCATTCCTGCAGTGGCCTCAGCAAGAGCCTCTTCCTACTTACCTTTTTCTCCTCACCCCCTTCTTCTTCCTTTCTCAGCAGCCCTGCCCTGAACTTTAGATATCAGGCACAACTCTGACTACAGGTGTTGGACTGGTTCTTTAAAGGGGTGGAGAGTCTGGTGGAGAAGGTATAAAAAGGCTTAGCCGTAAGGAGAAGCTAGAAGCTATGGCTGAGCAACTGCTGCCATCCAGGTACATCTGATTGTCTGCTCTGTGGATTCTGCAGGAGGAGGGGAGGGGTGCTTTATTTTGACCCTTTTAAAAATGGATTCTTTTGATCTATTATTAGTGAGGTTGGTTTTTAATTATATTTTATGATCCTTGAGAGCTTTTTATTACATTTTAGCTCTTGAGCCTGAAATTATTGAACCGGCTTTATCTTAGGCCAAGCCCAGAATAATGTGCAAGTAAGCTTTACAGGATTATACAGGTCAGATATCATCGTGCCTAAAATGGAGCTATCCGAATTCCCCAGAATCCATAAGTAATGTCTTAAATAGCCCTATCTGTGGCCTACTAAACTACTGTAGCATAATTGTAGCATAGTTCACTGTTTATTTATAGGGAGAATATATAGTTTAGAAAATAAATGGAGTTGCCCACCTAATAAGTACATGTAAAATCTTAAAAGAATTAAAAAACCAATGTCACAAGAACAGGCCACATGTGGCCTTCTGGCCTCAAGTACTGAATCTAGTCGAATCCACTTGAGGACCTAGAGGACCACGTGTGGCCTGGATGTTGCAGGTTCTCTGTCCCTGGGTTAGGAGAAGCCAGGGTTAGAGAGCAATCCATATTTAAAAAAAAAAAATGAAGTTTAAGCATACTGCAACCCAATAAATGATATGACAGCCAAAGTAGCTAATGATATAAGCTGAATAAGTGATATTCATTTTGGTTTTTTACTAAATGTTAAAAATATATATACAATTATCTTAAATTCTTGGGGTTTTCTTTTTTAGAAATTTGCCAATGGACAAGATCAACTTCACCATCCAATCTTTAAATATATCACTTCTTCCCTCTTCCAAAATAATAGTAATTAGCCTGAGGTATCTTAGTGTGGCTCTTAATCTCCTAGATTTAATGAAGTTCTCTTGGAAAAGGCTTAATCCAAGAGGTGGGGCAAAGATGGCAGAGTAAAGGCAGGGACTTGCCTGACCTCCAAATAACTTTTAAAAATGACTCTAAACAAATTCTAGAGCAGCAGAACCCACAAAAAGACAGAGTGGAACAAATTTCCAGCCCAACACAACTTGGAAGGTTGGCAGGAAAGGTCTGTTG